CAAGGTCTTTGGTGCAGTTTATACTCTTATATGTGAGTCAGAATCAGTCGAAACTGCAGAGGAGAGGGATATGCAAGAGAACCGCAGGTCTCTTATTTCTGGTGGTCTTTGAATGCCACGGAAGATTCAGGGATGGTGTGGAATGTTCCCTGGAGTCTCTGAGAGCTTTGGAGTGTGCAAGTCAAAAGGAAGCCATCATATGGAGCAAATGGATCACATGACAAAACATTTGGACCCTTCAAAACCACTGGCTAAATTAAAGGAGTTGAGGCTGGGCATGCAGAGGCAGAGGCAGGAGGATTTCTGTGAGTATAAGGACACCCTGGTCTACAGAGTGAGTTCCCAGTCCTGCCAGAGTTACAAGCTGACACTGTTTTCAGCAAGCAAAACCAGAAACAAATAAAAACAAAACAAAAACTGAAACAAAAGAAATGTAGATAGTTGAGCTTAATGAGTTCATGAAGTTACCCTCAAGGGGAAGTTATCCTCTTGTATGAGTCCAATAAGGAGAATTTCCTGGATACTATAGCAGCTGAAGGAGATCCAAAAACCATCAAGAAAATGACATCAGGGGTGCTGGAGAGATGGCTCAGAGGTTAAGAGCACTAACTGCCCGTCCAAGGGTTCTGAGTTCAATTCCCAGAAACCACATGGTGACTCACAACCATCTACAATTCAGTCTGGTGCTCTCTTCTGGCACATAGGCAGAACACTGTATATGTAATAAATAAATCATTGTTTGAAAAGAGAAAATGACATCAGGAAGATCAGTAAGAGCCTTCAGAGTGACAGACAGAAGTCACATGATTTTTCCTTGGGACATCTGAAGGCCACCATAGGAGGAGCAAAAGAAAAAACGAGGCGAGGAAAGAAAGCTTAAAACATAGAGGGCCTCAAAAGCAGCCCAGTTTATCTCAGGTAAATGAGATCTGCATAGAACCTTGAACAATTTATTTCAGTGGTTTTTCACCTAGTCAGTGAAAATGAGGGGTGGCAGCAGTTATCCAGAGCAAGGAGGAAGTCACGAAAGGAGTTGTATGGCAGTATAATTGTGGGGGAATCTGGCTTGTTGTAGTGTATGCTCTGGTGTGGCCCACGGTTTCACTTGTTGATGCCCGTTGCTTAGAAGCCCATTCTCAGCCTTAACTTCCATCATTGTTTTGTTTTTCATCTTTACAGATTTGCTCCGGGATCCTTAAATCTTGTGCAAGGCTCTCCCAATCTCTGTTATGCATGCCTAATTTGAGCTCACCTCAACTCCTGAGTTCCTCTAACTTGCTCAAAATCTGTTTTCTCCCACTAGGCAATTAATACCTATGGACCGTTTATCCATGGTGTCTGTACTCACTAACACAATGCCAGGCAAGGCAAACAGAGGTGAGATAAATTAAGTTTTCAAATAGAGCTGCTGGAAACAGTCTTATCAAAGAATCTTCTCTTTGCCATAGGGATCCTCTCAAGTGGTCAACACGCAGAGAAAAGTGGATGGACTGCTCAGCCCTAAATCAGACACTCAAATCTTACTTAGGGTTCAGGATCTTTGTGGAAGAGGGGCGGAAAGATTGAAAAGCCAGAGATGGTGGATAACTTAAAGGAAACAATGTTTTTCAGACACCACTTGGCAGATGCATGTATGAACTCACACCAGTAAGGCTTGTGAGCAAGACCTATGCCAGCTCTAACCAGACAATGTCCAAGAATAGGTGGGGGAAGGTGGACATGAATCATACCAACAGATGAGGAGCTGTTAGCATTTGAACACATGTGGGCAGGAGAGAGTCAAGTTTACTTATTCTTTCTTAAATGATGTGACTCCTCATAGGCAGACCACACTTGAGAACAGGCTTTCATCCTAAAGCCAGCTGGGAAACACAAATGACAGACTCAGTGGAGAAAGAGAAGGAAAAGGAAGTAATCTCAAAATTTTTGGGAAGGGGTAGGAAAGTTGAGTGGACGCTAAGGGGAAGAGTTGAGAGTCTATGTGTGAATACGTTCAAAATATCCCAAAGAATTTATAAAACTATTTGAATCACTGTTGTGCAATATTATTTTAAGATGTGTTGCATTTGTTTATGCTGTGAAACATTTGTTTAATGATGCAAAGGTGCATTGCATTCTTTTATGTTGCATTTGTTTAACTCTGTGAAGCTGTATTGCTTTTCCTCTCTAAAGCACCTGATTGGTTTAATAAGGAGCTGAATAGCCAATAGTAATGCAGGAGAAAGTATAGGTGGGGCTGGCAGGTGGGGAGAATAAATAGAAGAAGATCTAGAAGCCAGAGGAGGGAGCAATAAGAGGAAGGAGAGGATGATGCTAGGAGCCAGCCACCCAGCCACACAGCCAACCACCAAGTAAGAATGAAAATAAGATATATAAAAATAAGAAAAGGAAAAAGCCCAGAGGCAAAAGGCAGATGGGATAGTTTAAGTTAAGAAAAGCTGGCTAGATATAAGCCAAGATAAGACCAGGCATTTATAAGTAATAATAAGCCTCTGTGTGTGATTCTTTTGGGAGCTGGGTGGCAGGACCCCCAAAGACTGGTGTAAAGAGTAAAAGCAACCAACTAAAACAAAACAAAACAAAACACCTTATGTTTTGCTATAACAATGATCATATTTGAACTTTAAAAAGATATGAAAATATCTTTGGCTATTGATAGAGGTTAGTTTAGAAACTCAAGTCAGGTGGGACCCTTGCGCCTGACCTTGTTTTATGTCAGTAGGAATTTCTCAGCAAAATGAACATAAAACCTCAGAGTTGGACAGTTGCAAAAATGAACAAAATGGAAACTAAGTTAATAAGAACACCCACAAAGCATCACAGCCTACCCTCCTGTTGATATCTGTGGCAATCTGCTCTGTGCCTACACTGGGTGGATTGCTTTCTCATTTGACCTTCTGCTAACAGTCATCCCTCCTGAATTTCTCAGAACACAGGTGAGGGAAAGGGGTACTTTCATTCCATACTTAGATTCTGTGGGTGACATGTGCATACCTGTGCTAAATTTTGATCTGTTTAGCAACTAGCTTTTGTTTCTGATTCCAGTCTTGCCATGAACTCACAGCCTTCTTGCATTAACTTCTCAGGTACTGTGATTACTAGTATGACAGCTACATCAGTGGATATGTAGTTAATATCTTACACTATCTGCTTTTAAAATAAATCTTTTTCAGCTGGGCATTGGTGGCGCCTTTAATCCCAGCACTAGGGAGGCAGAGGCAGGTGGATCTCTGTGAGTTTGAGGCCAGCCTGGTCTCTAGTGCAAGTGTCAGGATAGGCTCCAAAGCTACACCAAGAAACCCTGTCTCAGAAAAACCAAAAATAAATAAGTAAATCTTTTTCTATAACAATAAATTTGATATTCAAACTATTTAGTGTTTATTTAACAAAACATAGAGCACTCAAAACACAACTCTGTCCCTTTTAGGGGCCTAACACTTGGAGTAGAAGTAGATATTTTTGGTATATGAGTATTTGGATTGAATCTGGCATCTGAAATGCTGCAGAACAAAATTATCAAGGTTTAATAAACTTTACGCACGACTTGACTACAGTTGTGCATGCAAAGAAAATAAATATAGTTCCTAATTAATTCACCTGAGAATAGCAACTATTTGTTTAAAATGAGCAGTTTAGGCAAAATTATAGATAATTGTTTGTAGAATTTTTAGTCTGTGGCTTTGTTAAAATTTCAACTGTCACAAAAGACTTCATCTTTGAAAACCTGTTCTTCCAGCTTCTGCATTATACTTGGGCTTTTCTAAGGCTGTGTTCATGCTGCTGTGCTCTGTGATTTCACTGAAGCAAAATTTAAAGAATAAAAAATCAACAAAAAGTTTACTTCTTTGCTCCTTATTCTATGCTTTCTCTTCTGTATTTTTTCTCACCTTTATTTTTGAGGAAATGCATTTTTATGCTTGCTTTCTCCCTTTCCTATTTCCAAATTTAAGTGTGGGTACTATCTTTATTAAATAAATTTAATATTTTATATAAATTCTAGTGATGCTGAGTCATATCATGAAAGAAAAGTCTACTATCAGGAAGGGCTGTAGGCAAAGGCACAGAATACAAAGAAAGAGACATTTATAACTATTCTCAAAAAGAATTGTTCTTGCCATTTGACTATAAAGTGGCAGAAGTGAGTGATGTTCTCAAAGACTTTTCTCAACTCCATAATATTCAAACTGTGACCATACTTGTGAATGGGGTTCTCAGCCTGTGTTTCATGGGAGGTGGTCCTGGACAAGGTTCATGTACCATCTTTACTGTGATAGGAAACACTGAGACACCTATGATGTCAGTAATGAACTCAAGAGATTATTTATGTTGAGAGGTTATTCGGACAGACAACTTCTAGTTCAATGGAGGCTTCCACTCTGTTTTATAGCTGTCATTTTGCACAGAATCTGTTTTACAATTGAGGGAATAAGGAACAATGCAAAAGACACATCAGGTAGGATGGGCAGATGTGGATCATGCAGGGTAGTATAAAAGTAGCCAAGGGTGCCTGGAGTCATCGAGAATCTGGAAATACTGGAAAACTAGGCCAACATGGAGCCAGGGCCATCTTGGGACTCTTAAATAAGGAATAAGCCATTTTGTCTACATTCAGGAGAGTGTTCTGCCTAGAATTCTGTGAGCAGCCTTTCAAATTGGGCAGTCTGGTATTTTGGGTATTTATTGAAGAAAGAAATTGAGAAAGTATCAGATATTTTGATAAAAGGCACATTCTGTCAGAAACCCACAAGGATCAAGGGAAGAATTAGGAGTTCGCAGGCATGCTTTGGTGTTTCAGTCTGTGTGGTTTCTCGCCAGCTTCCCCTAATGAATGGGATGTGGTGCTGAAGAGGGACGTGCTGAAAGCTTCTAATCATTTCTATTCTCTTTAATCTGGGGCATTTGAAACGTAAGTAAGTGACTGGTGCGGCAGCCCTCCCTGTGCAGTTCAAATGTGTGAGTCACAGCCTTGGAGAGCAGGAAGCCGGCAAGGAATGTGGTGACGTGGTTTCAGGATCCATCTGGCAGAGGTCTGTGATCAGCCTGTTGGAAAACCCACCTCTGGGCACGGTTGCACGAATGGAGGTTCTGAGCAGGAGGTGGGCCTGATCAAAGTTGTTTAATCTGACTTTTAAGGACGGAAATACTGGAACTCTGGAACCCTGTTGAGATGCAATTGCAGGAATCTAAATAAAAGGTGAGGGGGGCCTGGTAAGTGGTGCAAGTCCCTGAGACCAGGCAAAAAAGAACCAATAGGGCAACTTGTGAAAAACATTGCTATGACCTGGCTGATAAAAGGCAACATTAGTCAATGGCCTGGCTTATCAGATGATCAAAACAAACCTCTTTTTGAATCATAAATCAAATGTGCACAGGTGACATGGCCTTCACTATATCACTAACCTTCTTGATTCTTGTTTTCCTAACCTGTGAAGAGGATGAGGGCATTTGGAAAGGTTGAACAACTGTCTTGAAATACACAGACAGTGGAGAGGATATAATGTTTTTACACATTGGATGTAGAAGAGAGTGAACAGTATCATTTATTATTGTTGGGAAATGGGGAAATCCAAGAACTGAAAGAATTAGGGTGGTGAATGGTTCATTCTCTATAGAGATTTGTAGCTTTATTCACCAGCTACCAGAATGGTAAGTGAACAAGTATATTTTGAGAATGATTGCGATTTACTAAAACACACAAACAAGAAAACAGACAATGCTTATTGGAGTACTGTGGTGGCCCACAAGACTTGATGGTGGCAAGAACTGATGTTAAATTGAGAGTTTCATTTTAGTGAGTTATCCATTAGACTACTGTGTGTCTCACTCAGACTGAACTTAATGCGAGTCCAACTCCACATATGATGTGTTTCTCTATTGTACTTCATCACACAGCCTTTAGGTGCCACCATTGAAACCTGAGTGCTTATTTGGGTCCCCACTATTGCTTTCATATAGGAGCTATAGTTTAGAATAGTGGTTCTCATCCGTCTAAATGCTCAGACCCTTTAATATGGCTCCCCCTGCTGTGGTGACCCCCAGCCATAGAATTATTTTTGTTGCTATTTTATAGCTGCACTATTGTTATTGTTATGAATCATAATGTAAATATTTTCCAATGGTCTTAGGTGACCTCTGTGAAAGGGTCATTTAACCCCAAAAGGGTCACGACTTACAGATTAAGAAATGCTGGTTTTGAAAGTAGTTACCATGATTGTTAACAAAAATGAGGTATGGAAAACCACAATTGTTCAAGTAAGAGAGGCCCGGGGTGGATGTATTTTCTTGGTTTAGTTATGAAGATAGTCTTCCGATGATGTCTTACAGTTTATGATTTCGCATACAGCTGCCTTAGAAAAAATCTGAAGTATGCCACTGTATAAAAAGCTGGCCTTTTATCTTGAGGACTAATGGGAAATTCTCCATCGCTTTTTAAAAGACATCTTGCTGTGTGTAGTGATTTTTTTAAAAGAGCAAGTTATGAAAACCTCTGACAGCCTCTTCAGTAAAAGATCCAGGATCATCAAGCATTGATGCAAAGACAGAATTTGCTTTTGACACTTCAGAATGGGCTTCTGGCAATATTATGTCTGTTTCAGGTTTTTAGGTGCACTGCACAGTTTGGAAACTGAGTTATACGGTGGCCTAAGCCATAGACAAGCACTGCCGAGGTAAGGGCATTCCCGGGTCCATTGCACTAGCTTACGGTGTTTTTGCAACTGTGGACATGTCACATGAGTATATCAGCAACATCCGTTTGGTGTAGCCAGCCCCTAAGTAGGCGTGGCTACAGCTTCGGATTGGAAGGAGGTGTTCAGGCTTGGGCACCTCCTTCCACTTTGGGGTTTGATTATGCATTCCAAATGGTTTTTATAGCTCTTTTACTTGCTCATGTAAGAGATCTCAAAGCTAACCACTAATTTTAAACACACACACACACACACACACACACACACACACACACACAATAAGAATGTAAAGTATTTGTGTAAGAGATGTAAGCATGAAAAGAAATGTTTCACAGAATTTGGCTATGTTTGCAAAGATATCCACAATCACATTTTTAACTCTGTAACCCAAGAATCGGTTAGGTTATAGGACAAATGAGAATAGAAGACAGCAAAAGAAATGAAAGCTGGTAATCAATGTGCCTTAGAATAGGATTACACTGGATCATCCAGATGTGTTGATCATAATGACAAAACCCGTAAATGTGGATGTGGAAGACACAGGTTTGTCAGAGTGATGCCATCTGAAACAGATGGAGCTGGTGATTTTTGGCTTTGGAAAAGTAAAGGATTCCTGAGCCAAAGAAAACCAGTTGTCTCTTACTTGGAAAAGAATTCAGATACTCCCCTAGACTTCCATCAAGGAACACAGACTTGTTGACACCCAAATTTTAACTCTGAGGAATTCATTTCAGCTTCTCACCTACCCAAATATACATATGCAATGAGAGAGAAATAGAGAGGCAGAAATATAGTCTTGCTATGTGGTTTATCCTGGCCTCAAACTCTGGTCCTCCTCTTTCAGCCTTCCATATGCTAAGATTCTAAGGGTGTACTGCTAATACATTAGTATGGGCTGTTTTAACACAGTTTCAACAATTTCTTAACACCAGTAATAAGAAACAAACTAAGAGTATGTCTAAAGAAGATTCGTATATGTCTGGGCAAGAAGGAAACTTTGAAATTCTCTCAGATTTAATTGTAAAATTGAAAGTGTTAACTGATTTACATTGTGTTTTGCTTGCCTTGTATAAAACTTTGTATTTTAAAACAAAATTCACATGAAGTATACTTTAATGCATATCTAGACTATCACATTGTCCATGGAGAGTTTCTACAATTAATATGTATATAAATACCCTGGAAAATGTGAAAGATAGTTATTTCAAATTCCACTCCATAGCTATCACTTAGGAGAATCTAAGGTAAATCAGAAAATATGATACACTAGAATTGTAGCCTATGAAACATCAGCAGAAAATGTTTTGATTGGCTTTCCTCACATATTCTGAAATTCCAAGTTAATGAAGTTAGAGAATCTTTTTAACTTAAAACACATAGATTATAGATAGTCATCATGCTGCATTGTTATGAGATTGGAAGCTGTCTCTTTTAAAAACAAATTTACCCTAGAAAATTTCAGACAGGAATAAAAATAAACCAGAGTACAGTGAGCCCCCAACCATTTGACTTTCAGTTTATACAATTAACTTTGCATGGCCAGTCTGGTGTCATCTTTGCTCAGTATTTTTCTCCTGGTACATATTTTATTGAAACAAATTACACAATCCTATAAATCTATTAATGTAGGTCTTAGTATAAAATACAACATCAAAAGGATTATTCATTTATATGGTGCATTGCCTTGATCATATCTTTAATATAATATAATGCATTGCCTTGATCATATCTTTAAAAATTCAGTAAAATACTAAGATCATCAAAAATCCAGATATTGTTTACATTTCTATTTGTCTTATAAGTGGTATTTTGTAATATAATTATTTTGATCAAAATCCAGAGAAAGTGCCAGCATTATGAACAACTGATATGTATTTTAAATATCTTTTAATCTACAGCTCTCCCCTCCCTGTCTTGTTTTGTCTGGTTACTTGTTTGTTAAAGAAGATAGGTTGTGTGTCCTGTTGTCTGCCTTCCTCTGGGGTTTGCAGATTCATCTCCATGGTGTGGTTTGAGATATTCCTCTGTCCTATGTTCTTCTTATATCATAATAATTAGATCCGGAGTCTAAATACAAACAGGTTCAGGAAACCATCTACTTTGGTTAGATGAATATATATTCTATGTCTCACTAATGCTTGCAAATGAGCAGCCCTGTGCATTTCAAATGTTAACCACAGTGTGATGCATGGCTTGGGGAATTTTAAACTATTTCAATTGTTCAATTCTTGAGAAAGCTCTTCTGATACCATTCATGACTAGAATAGAACATGCCTCCTTTCAGAATAATGAAATGCCACTTTAAGGGAGAAGATTTTTTTTTAAGAGCTCAGGTTTTCGCTTAACTAGGAGGTGAAAAGGGATAATTTAAATAATTTCTTAATTTAAATAATAAAAGAAAAATCTAAGTATAGGTTTGTTCTGAGTTAAGATTTTATCTCTGCCCAACCTGGATCAGAGGTACCAGCGACCACACATATGGTGACTTCCAGAACTCACAAAAGAAGTCTGCACATGACAAAAGCAACTCCTATTTACTTGGTATATACCATATGCCAGCACCATTCAGGACATTGCTTCAGTATCATCTGATTAAAATCTCACACAACCTTATCTTACACAGGAAGAGGTAAAGTGAAGACTTCTAATGAGTGAAGGCATTGTGAGGAGTCAAAGTCATGGAGACTGATTCCTGAGCCTGCGTTTAATCTCTCTGCAAAATGGTCCCTGGTAACATACAGTTGGAAGAAGACATACATGGATAGCTAATTAAGAGCTTTGCTGTCTTTGTTTTGTTTTATGGATGTTTGCTATTAGCTTTATGTCTGAGTTTCATTGCCTTTCATTATACTACAGTGTGAGCCAATCTATTCAGGCACAGGCACTACGTTTGCCTTTTAATTCTTCCAAAAGATCCACGAAGGAGGGTCCACAATTGCTTCTTGAACTATGAAAAAGAACCATACATGTTTATTACTAGTTATACAAAGTAACTCTTACTGTTCCACACATTAATTTAGAATGTTGTGTTGAGTGTTTTGTGCAGTTTCTTCTCCTACACCATCTCTATGTACAATTTAGTGACTCAGTGCCAAAAATGCATTTTGTCATTTATTCTTGATCTCCTAATTCTTTTATTGTTCAATTAATCAGAAGGTTTAATATCTATAAGGTCACACTAGGATGTACACCTAGAAGTAAGACCCTTCCATAATTACTGCTTTCAAGTTATAAATTACTTCACAGAGTTATTCCTTAGGTAAAAAGATTAAGTAAAGATGGATACAAGTGCATTTTTATAAATGTGGATTGGAAGTAAATTCCCTTTGTTGTAAGTTATAGATTAGTGGAACATACATACACAATAAATCTCCATGTCCCTTGAGAGGTGCCATTACACAATGGAGAAGTGTCCAGCTTTGGAATCACATCATGTGTGAGCTGACACTGTACTACAAATGTAATGGTATGAGTTGCCTCTTTGATTCTCACTTTTCACTTCTTGAAATGTTTTTTATTAATACAGATTAGTAATATGTGAGTAAAATACTAGATTTGTAGTGACACTTAACAAATTAATATTTTTGAATTGTAATTAAAAATATTCTGTGTAACATTATATTTTGATGGTCCTGTCTGAATTTTTTTCTTCCCTTTTTATAATGTTTAAACTTCAAAGATAAGGTTGATGTGCAAATTAAAAAAAACAGCAATATCCACTGTGCACAAATGTGCAAAATGCTGCAATGAGCTACTGTGCAGCCATTTTCCAAGAACATGATTACCAGAGGAAAGTGGTGCAGTGTTTTCCTTAGTTTGTCTTTCCTTTGTGTGTGTGTGTTTATTTTTTCTTTTCTTTTTTTTGTTTCAATTGAATGTTTCAATTGAAACATTTTGTAGGCCAGGATAGCCTTGCATTAATAACTTTCCCTGCCTCTCCCTCCCAAACCTAATTATTGGAATTAAGAAAACTACTCTTAAGGCAGGTCAGTGAGAAAGGTGTTTGCCTCCAAGTTTGACCACCAGGGTTTGATTCCCAGGAATTAGATGGTGGAAGACAAGAACTGATACCTACCTCTGGCCTTCACACTCACTGTGGTATGGGCATTCTTGCACACATACAGACAAGTGAACAGAATGAATAGGTACAATATAAAATAAAATTGTTCTGACTTAGTATCTGAAGTTTATTTTTATGAAAGGTAAATGATGAGACATGAAATACTTTTGCTCCACGTGATCATTTAAGATGGGTTAAGACCTGGCATCAAGTGGCACACACACACACACACACACACACACACACACACACACACACACACACACACATATATATGTTCTTGTGAGAAAAGGGAAAACATATTGGGATGAAACAATCACCTTTTCTTCAGACCCAAGCAAGGCTGGTTCAACATTTCTTCCTAGACTCACTTTACAAGACCTTTATGGCATGCCCACATCTGATTGTAAGAGAATCTAATACAGCCATCTGGCAGGACATGTGACAGGAAAGGAAGAGTTACAAATTTTATTATTACTTGCAGCATTTATTATTTCTTTCACACGATAAGTGAGATGATAAGGGAAATTATACATTGGTGATAACAGATTATAAGAACAGTGCTTTGGATATTATATCACTGAAAAAAATGTCAACTGAGTTGCTACTCCTTTGTGTGACTCAAAGATCCTGTGATTAAGACTTGAGTAGCCAAAATGTAAAGTTAGTGGTAAATGATGAATTAAAGATATATTTTAGTGAGCAGATTAATGAAAAAGGTGGGAAGATATATGGAAATAATGCTGTGTTGGACATAGTAATGAAGATCACAATTTATTAGGTATGTTGTTTCTTGAACAAAAATTCTCTTATTGTTTAGGATTGTTTTAGCTATCCTGGGTAACTGTGGCTCCATAAAATGAATTGGGCCATGTTCTTTCTGTTTTTATTTTGTGGAATAATTTGAGGAGCATTGGCATTA